AAAAGATACATACCTTCTTTAGATGTTGGTATGTAAAGACATTTCCACAAGGATTGCCAGGGTTCACAATAACCATCGCGACAGTATTTTCATCCGCAAGTGCTTCAACTTGATCAAGATCAACCTCCCAACCTTTCTCTGGAAGAAGATCAAAGTGACGGAATTCAAGATGGCTATATCTACAGCGCGCTTCATAATATGGGAAGCCCGGTCTTGGCAATAGAATATTGGCTTTGGGGCGAGCAAGGACTGATAATATGACTTCAATTGCTTGTGTGCATCCAAGTGTCAAATAAACATCATCTGCTGATAGCTTGTATGGAAGATCTTGAGATAGGTACTCTGCTATGGCCCTAGTTAAATAATAAAGGATGAAGTGGTGAATTTTAACAGATGAACCATATCAAAAAGAGTGGCTTTCTAACTGTTTCTTCTCACCCCACTTAATTAAAGGAGAGGAAGGGGGATGTCTATGATAAAGTTCCCTTTATAATTTGTATACCCATAACAAAAAAAATTTCCACTTATCAAAAACAAGAAAATCTTGAATCTAAAATATATGTCTGAGAATCATGTAAGTTGGAATTGCTTGAGTCACTGAGAGAGCTATTACTAATTTTCCCGAGACAAATAAAATAAATCAACAACCATTTACGTTGTCCACAAAAAGCATAGCAGAAATTTTACTGTGAAACCCAATGTTCAAGTTCTACCTTTAAGCAAGGTTGTCAAAAATGTAAATCGGAAGGCGTATCGCAAGATACGTGTATTTTTTATAAAAGATATAAAAAAATACATATACTTATGACAAAATATTTGCACCATAAATTTCTCACATAAAACAATTTAAAGACACTACAAGGACAAAAACAAAAAATTANAAATACATATACCTATGACAAAATATTTGCACCATAAATTTCTCACATAAAACAATTTAAAGACACTACANGATATAAAAAAATACATATACTTATGACAAAATATTTGCACCATAAATTTCTCACATAAAACAATTTAAAGACACTACAAGGACAAAAACAAAAAATTAATAATCTAAGTATTGAAGTTTCTAACATAATTCATCAATATCAAAATTTAGGGAGTTCTAATTCTAACATCTAGCCAAAGGATGACACTTAATCAAACTATTTGCTCTAACAATGGATTGAATAAAAAAGAAGACTTTTATTTCTTAAAAACTGTTGATTGTGAAACGACATTATTTTACTACCTACTGTTTAAAAAAATTACTTCTAAGTGAAAAACCGTAATTTTTTGGTTAAAATTTAAAGGGAATTTTTTTGATCTGTTTTGTTCTATAACGAACAACAATCGTATGTATCGTCTGGTATAACAAGTTTATCGTATCATGTATCNCATCGTAATTTTTTGGTTAAAATTTAAAGGGAATTTTTTTGATCTGTTTTGTTCTGTAACGAACAACAATCGTATGTATCGTCTGGTATAACAAGTTTATCGTATCATGTATCGCATGACTTGAGATAGATGTGAGTGAAAAGGAATACCCAAACTATAAGTAGAGTTTCGCATATATAGTCAAATAATATTACAAAGTGATCTAATTATCCTTGTGGTCTAGGCAAAATATAAAAATCATAATAAGGGTAAAAAAGGGAAGAAGAACCCTAATAAACTAGGCTACTATAACTCCAATACTCCCCCTCAAACTAGACACAAAAATGTCAACAAAGTCAAACTTGACAACGGAGTCCCAGAGAATGGATAAAGTGACAGGTTTGGTGAAAACATCTACAACCTGATCACTGGTCCCCGCAAACGATAGAATGACAATACCACTACTAACTTTCACCTGAAGAAAATGAACATCGATCTCTATATGTTTCGTCCTCTCGTTTAATACAGAGTCAGAAGTGAGCTAAATAGCAGATTGATTATCACAATATAATATAGATGAAGAAGTCACTGGAAATTCCNCGAGATAGGTACTCTGCTATGGCCCTAGTTAAATAATAAAGGATGAAGTGGTGAATTTTAACAGATGAACCATATCAAAAAGAGTAGCTTTCTAACTGTTTCTTCTCACCCCACTTAATTAAAGGAGAGGAAGGGGGATGTCTNTGATACTCTGCCTCTGCTGACGAGCAAGAGACAACTGATTGCTTCTTGCTCTTCCAAGAGATAAGATGAGCCCCTCGAAAAGCACAGAAACCCTATGTAGATCGACCTTTACACGTTCCTCTATATTCTGAATTTGAATAACAGGCTAGAGAACCAGTCTGAAATCTTGATGCATAGANCGATACTCTGCCTCTGCTGACGAGCAAGAGACAACTGATTGCTTCTTGCTCTTCCAAGAGATAAGATGAGCACCTCGAAAAGCACAGAAACCCTAAGTAGATCGACCTTTACACGTTCCTCTATATTCTGAATTTGAATAACAGGCTAGAGAACCAGTCTGAAATCTTGATGCATAGAACAATCCAAGTTCAAGACAATACTTGAGGTGCCGAAGGATATGATAAACTACATCAAGATGAGGCTAGGACTAACTCGGCTGACAGCGAATGCAATGTCTGGCCTAGTGCTGGCTAGGTAGATAAGTCTACCTACCAATCTCTAATAGACAGTTGAATCTCTCAACTCTTCACCTTCAGCAATAAGCTTCAAGTTTAAAATCATAGGTGATGATGCCGATTTGCACCCCCAGCATCCTAGTGTTTGAGAGAAGATCCAGAACATACTTTCTCTGAGAAAGAACAATACCCCTGCTGCTACGGGCAACCTCAATCCCAAGAAAGTATCGCAGAAATTCAAGATCTTTCACATCAAAGGTCTTTCCAAGGTTTACCTTGACTTGCGCAATCCTAGAAACATCATCTACAGTAATAATAATATCATCAACATATACCAAAAGGAAGACACACTTTTCAGAAGTATCCTATCGAATGAAGAAAGTATGATCAAAATGACATCTGATGAACCCTAAACGTATAACTACACCACTAAAGCGAGAAAATCAAGCTCATAGTAGTGTTTGATTTGGATTGGGCCAACAATCAAGACTCATGGCTTAGCCATGAACACCTTCATTTTTGGATCAAATTCCATCGTTGAAGCGCTCAAAATTCCATTTTTGTTGTTTTAGGAAAGAATTTAAAAATTAATAATAAATCATAAAAGATTTTAAATTCAATGCCGTCAGTTGGGTTGGATTTCAGATGACACGTGTTTTTATGTTAATTAGTTAAATTGTAATTTTTCATTTTTGATAATTTTTGTATAATTAGGAATTTTACGTGGGGACAATTATGGTTTTGGCTATTTCTTTATATATGCTCGTATGTAATACAGATCATTTATTGAATAATATATCTCTTTTTGAGATATTCTCTTGTTCCTTTTTCTATGGATTTAAAGTGTGTACATTTTATACACTTAGAATCATAACGTTATTTGTGTTCCTTTGTTCTGCTGCGTCAGCTCCANTTTTATACACTTAGAATCATAGCGTTATTTGTGTTCCTTTGTTCTGCTGCGTCAGCTCCCGTCTACTCATATGAGTGATATTGAAGAAAAGAGGAAAGGGCAAGCCTCCGGGGCCTCTAAAAAAATCAAAACATTTTGGTGACGGTGTATGAGCTCAGTTTATTGGCCTTCTAAACTCCCCTGTACCGTTAATGTTGCTCAATTATGAAAAATTTTGTGTTTTGAGTGGCAAATACTGTGTGTGTGTGTATATATATGTATATTTATATAATAAAACATGAGTGTGTTTGAATTTTGTTCCAGTCTTATTTTCTCCCATAAAATCATCATCAATCACTTACATCATCCATCATCCATTTGTCAAATTCAAACGTCAAATCACATTACTTATTGTATCATATGTTTAATCATTTATATATTTATTTTTTAAAAATATCACATCACTCATTTCTATCATATATTTAATCATTGAATATTTAATTAATTTATAATTAATATATTTTTTAAAAAAATTAATATAATGAGATTGATTTTTTAGACACTCGAATTTTATATTTTATCGTGCCTGAAAGCACGAATTATAACTAGTATATATATATATTGGTAAATGCTCTGAAGTTAGATTTGTTAGCGTGGAGGTACATAATGAGTAAGTAAGAAAAAAATACATATGCCATCGGTATGATAACGAGCTATAAAGAAAAGATGAGTATTAAAAGATGTAAGATAGTGACAAAATTAAAATTAAGTACCTCCTCGCCGGAAGAATACCGACAGTAGAAGAATAACCGTTGAACTTCCCCGACCGGACGGCGTCGGCGATAGCGTCTTCGGCTACGGAAGTGGTTCGGAAGCACGGAAACACCGAGGGGTCGCCGTGGCCGAGAGGAATGGTGGTTCTGTGGTCTGCTTCGTTGAGATTTCTCATCAACAAGTTGAGCATACCTCTGATTGTGATCTCCGAGGCCATGTTCAACTCGTCGTTCCCTCGAAAACCCCATCTCGGCGATCCGTTCTCCATCTCTCTCCTCCCCTCCATTGGTATACGAAGGCTAAGGTGAGAAGACACAGTGAGAGGCGGAGAGCAATGGGGACGTAAGTTTATGGCTAAGGACGCATGGCTAATGACTTTTTTCTCTTTGGAGAATTGCACTTGACATCTAAAAGATTTAATAATTTTTACTTTATTCCTTAAAAGATTAATTGTTTTACATCAAGAATTATTAAAGTGTTGCAATGTGATATTCTATTACTTTTTGTTATTTATTTCATCCACTTTAATGGGATGAGTTTTGATAGAATAAGCACCAGAAGGTAATTAAAGGGACTTATTGCATCGCTTTTAATATATTTAAGATATAATATAAAAAATCTCATTCTTTTGGGTATAAAATAAGAAAATTATATTTTTTGGGGGTATAAAGTAAGATTCCTCCTTTTTTTCTTTCCTAAACTGGGTGTATTTTTTTGGGAACTGGATGGTGACTTGAATGTCTCGGACTCTAGCTTCATGGATTGTCTGTTTGTTCGGAATCTCTCAATTTTAAATTGTGTTTGATTTTATAATAAAAAAAAAAATGTGTTTGATTTTGATTAAGCATAAATTTCTATTAAGTTGGAGAGATATCTAACTTAATTCATTTATTGAATTAATTGCCAGTTTTAATGTTAGAGGGATTCCAATTTCAATAGACATAGTTTCATTGTTGGGTTGTCTAAGAAGTTAATTGGTTTGGAAGAAGCGCAAACTGCAGAGTCAATGGCTTCAAGGGAAACTGTGCTTTTTGCTAAGCAAATTAGGTGTGATGAGATTGTGTCAGAAGGGGATTCTTATGTAATCACGAAGAGGATTGACGATAATTCGGAAGATTCTTCTCCTATTGGCACTATTATTGCATATGTGCAGCAGTTTCTTCGCATGTTTATTTTTTATTCTTTATCCACTGTTAGACGATCAGGAAATCATGTGGCTCACCAACTTGCTCGAAAGGTCAAATTAGGTGAAAATATTGATGTTTTAGAAAGAAATGGCACCAAATTTTTTGATACTATCTCTTCTATCAGATTTAGCTTCTTAATAAAATTTCTATCGTTTCAATCCAAAAAAAAAAAATAGTCATAGTTGATAAGATGTCTAAATTAAGTCCTCAAATTAAGTGTAAATAGTATTTTTTAAAAATAAAATTAAATAAAATCCGAACCAGAGGGACATATAAGAGCCAATCTTTGCCTCTGACATCCTAATTGAAAATATTATGGGTGATCAATTAGTTTAGATTTAGTTAATTTATTTTATTTTATTAGAAGTCATACGTTGTGTTAAATAACAATTAATTATGTTAATATTTTATTATCTCGTTCAAATTTAGCTACAGTTTACGTCTCTTATTATTATTACAGCCATAATGTATGAGTATTAAAAATAATTCACAATATACATATATAGGAGGTTGACAAAAATACCCTTAATAGATGAGGTTTTTTAAAAACTTAAACTATATCGCTTAATGTTTTTCCACATTATATTTATTACCACTACTATCACCATCCACCACTACCACTACCACTACCACCGACGATGAACTACAAGACGGCAAACTCAATGAGAGTTAACTAAAAACACTTTCTCCCTCTTTTTGAATCTATTGTTTGATATTTAAAATTTAGATATGATTTGATTGTGTTTTATAAAATTTCTAAAAGATCTTTATTTAGATTGACGAATGATTTTGTAAACTAAAGACAATGAACTAAAAACAATCACTTTCTCTTTTTCTATGAATATGTATTTTGTTATATAATTGTGGATGAAAGAAGAGTTGGATTTTTTAGTCATTGTTTTTGGTTCACTATCCGTGGTGGGTGTGGTGGATT